TTGTTGGAGTATCGTATTCCACCTACAACTAAATCAATCGAGTAGTCGCAGGGTCCATTTGTTGATTCAATTTTTAAACATGTATATACGTTTTCAATTTCACATTTCATGATGGACAACATTATCAGAGGCGAATTTAGGAGGAGGCAGGGGACCCGCCCCCTTTATGGAGCTGCATATATGATAAATGCTTATATACTTTTAACAAGTATCAATCAAAACGTTAGCTTGTCAGGGGCTCCCCTTTTTCGAAATCCTCAGTGGATCCGCACCTGATTATTATGATTTTTCGAACTTTATAAATGAAGATTTTTTTTATGTTTAAATGGGCATATCTCAAATCGGAAGTCTCCGAGTTATTAATTTTTCTTAGGCAAACAAATATTTGTTTGATTCTGATTACACAAGATAGTTTGAGTAGTCGCACACCTGTTTTATATTAGAAAAAACGTTTTGATGTCCAAAGATCTTCCAAATGTATACAATAAGAGGCTCCTAAGAGCCTGAAGTAGGTCAAACATCGTTATTTTAAGTGCAACAATGCCTGTAAGAATTCATCAAATGGCATCTGTCATATTGGCATTTTTGTCACGGGATCTTGTATTGCGGGTCATATGTGCAGTTTACAGTTTCTACTAATCTATTATAGTACATGCATAAAACACCTAAAAATGGATGAAAATCATCTTTCAAGGGCAATAACTCCTATAAAGAATTAATTGACGATTTCGGTCTAGTTTATTTATTCTTATTTCTGATCATTTTACCAAATAGAGGTAATCACCGTACTATACTGAGTTTTCTATAAAAAATTGCAAAAGGGGAAAAATAGTCATCCAGTTTCAATAACTCCTACAAGGAGTTGGTTGGCAATTTCTATCCTATTCACTTATTTATAGATCTTACTGTGTTGAACAATTTTACTATTTGAACAATATTTTTTACATCTTTTATAATTTCTGCTAAAATTGGGTAAAAGTCATTTTTCATTTTAAAAAATGTGCAATAATTCCTGAAAGGGTTCAATTTACGATTTCGGCCATGTTGACGTATTTGCTTCTTTCTTGCTAGTATAGTTTCTGCCAAACAAAAACAAACAAAAAAACGGCAAAAATGGGGGAATATCGTCTTTCAGTGGCAATAACTCCTATAAGGAGTTGGTGGACTATTTCAACCATATCAATTACGTAGATCTTATTTTGCTGATCATTTTCACTACTTGAAAATTCTCTCTACCCGATGTTATTTCTGCAAAAAGGGTAAACATCGTACTCAATGGCAATCAGTCTAAGTCCGTTTATTGGTCATTTGACGATTTCGGCCATGTTGATTTATTTGTAGATCTTATTGATCCGGTCATGTTTACAACTTCAAGTTTGTTTCGATCTATAACAGTTTTCCAAATAATATCAACATACGGCTAAATTTGCTAAAAAAATGCATTTCAAGACAATACTTCAAAATACAAATGTATGTTGTCAAATTTTTCTAAAAATCACATCGTATCTTTATCTGCTGTTTATTTTTGACACTTTTTTCTTTACGTTTTTAAATATAAGTAAAAAAGTGCAGTTTAACCCATGTTTGTGTTTTTTACAACAGCGTCTATGCTGCGAAATTGCTGCTGGATCAAATTCCAGGATACATTTTTGTCGCGGATGCAACAAATATATATATTAAATATAGCGATCTACATTCCGTTGTCGACGTCGTCGTCAACATTTAGGTCCAGTCAGTGGTAAAAGTTTGTTCAAGGCATCTTTGTCAAACCTTCTTTTACTGATAAATTAACTTACATTTTGTTTGCAGTAACATTCAGATACAGTCTAAGGTTTAAGTTTTTCAGACACCAATAACCTCGTCAAACCGTCATAGAGTTTAATTAAGCAGATTTTAAGAGATCAAGTTTGAAGAACAATTTTAACAACAGTGCACACGCTGAAATGTCTCGCCTGCTTATGTTTAATCATGGTTGAATAATAACGATGGGGTCAAGGTCAAATGAACCCTGCCAGACAGACAATTTCACCTTTCAATCATTCCATGCATCAAGTATAGTTGACCTTTTGCTTAATGTACCTGATAAATTAAAAAAATAACATTGACCAATGAACAATGAAAATGAGGTCAAGGTCAGATGTTCACCTTACAATCATTCCACACATGAAGTATAGTCGACCTTTTGCTTACTGTACCTGATAAATTTAAAAAAACATTGACCAATGAACCATGAAAATGAGGTCAAGGTCAGATGTTCACCTTACAATCATTCCACACATGAAGTATAGTTGACATTTTGCTTAATGTTCCCGATAAATTAGAAAATTAACATTGACCAATGAACCATGAAAATGATGCCAAGGTTATATAAACCCTGACAGACATACATGTTCACCTTACAATTATTCCATACACCAAATATAGTTGAACTATTGCTTATAGTATCTGAGATACGGACTTAACCACCAAACTTTAACCTTGATCACTGATCCATGAAATGAGGTCGACGTCGGGTGAACCCTGTCTGACGGACATGTAGACTTTGCAAGAAACCCATATACCAAATATAGTTATCCTATTACTCATAATAAGCGAGAAATTCACATGACAAAAATACTCTTTTCAAACAGTCGCTGAACCATGAAAATGAGATCAAGGACAATGGACATATGCCAGACGGAAACTTCGTAACATAAGGTATCTGCATACCACAGGCACTTGTCTCAGAATTTTTTTCCCTTCTATATACCTTAATATATTAAGGTATATATAAAAACAAATTCTGAGACAAGTGCATGTGCTGCATACAAGCTATGAAGCATCCAGGTCTTCTACGTTCTGAAATATAAAAGCTTTAAATAAATAGTTTACACCGCCGCCGCCGCCTGATTGTAATCCCTATGTCTCGAATTTTGCTACTTTTGTCGCAGGCGAGACAAAACTAGTTTCCTTAAGGAACATTCAGAATGAGGTTGGACACATTTGGCCTATTTTCAGAGGAGATTGTTTTTAAGTAACTGCGACGGACGGACGGACGGACGGACGGACGGACAGACGACGACGGATGCTAGTGATGCGATTGCCAATAGCTCACATTCCCCTTCGAGCCAAGTAAGCAAAAACGAAGACACTAAGAAAATATAGATACATAACGTTACATAAATAATCAAAATGAAAACAATACAGATGTGTTCAATTTTTCCTTTTCTAAAATTCACTGAAAATCATCTTTGTGAATAATCGATATCATTACCAAAAAATGAAAATGAGAGAAAAGTGGCAGTAAACCCGCAATTTGCTGCTGAATTGTTGTACAATTTTTTGCACGTTTTCGATCAAAATCTTTCCAAAGCCTAAACATTTTACGTTGAACTGTGAACTGTGGAATAGTTATAACACTATATTTTTCATTTGCTTTACTGATATCTGAACTCGTTAAATTGTTCAGAAAGGAAATATGAATGCATAATGAGTACTAACAGGTCATATTTAATGAAGTTGTGGTTTTTACCGTTACAGAAGAGGAGCGGCACACAAACTGCTTCCAATTGTAAGAGTAAAAGAGAGTGTTGGCGTGATCTAACAATGAACACGTTAAGAAGAATGATTTTATTTCGTGCAGAAAATATCTCAGAAGGGTGTAATTCGGAACTCTTGCCATTTATTTTAATAGATGTTTCAGTGAGGCAGAGACATATTGTCTCTGAGTGAGGGGTTCAATCACTTTTAGGGATACAAAAATTGCAAATGGAGCAAAACTTTCATGTCAAATGTCTCTTTTAGCGATAGTTATGGCGGCCCAACTCCATAAAACAATTGTGTATTGGGAACTCCTAAACAAGTTCATTTTCGAAACCGGGTTTCAAAAAATGTTAAGTTTTAATGAACTTTTAATGGCTTAAATTGTCTCAGAAAACATTTACACATTTGTGTAATTTTCAATTATTGAATGTTACCCTCAACCTCAAAGATCAACCGTGTTAAACTTTTTAATTTTGTACGTTTTACACAATATGCAATTTCTCGTTCTGGAATCTAAAACTGGTTTAGCTCTCACTATCGTTTCATAAAATATGATGATCATTGTATAAAAAGAAAGAACACATAATAATTTGACTCAGATTCTACAAAAGTCTCTCTCATAAGATTTTTTTCTATTTAGAACATAATTTCTCTTTTTGAGTGGGGTTTCTTTTTACAATTGAGTTAACCCCAATCCGTTTGTTTATTAAAGGCAGACTTCCTTATTATACTATTATTATTAATGAATTCCTGACTAGGGTTTATCTACCTCCTTTATCTCTAGTCTATTGTTTTACAATACCTGTTTTCTTCCTTTACCTATGATATTGTCTATTGTTTTACAATATCATTTTTCTCCTTTACCTATGATATTGTCTATTGTTTTACAATACATGTTTTCTTCCTTTACCTATATGATATTGTCTATTGTTTTACAATACATGTCTTCTTTCTTTACCTATGATATTGTCTATTGCTTTACAATATCTGTTTTCTTCCTTTACCCATATGATATTGTCTATTGTTTTACAATACCTGTCTTCTTCCTTTACCTATGATATTGTCTATTGTTTTACAATACATGTCTTCTTTCTTTACCTATGATATTGTCTATTGTTTTACAATATCTGTCTTCTTCCTTTACCCATATGATATTGTCTATTGTTTTACAATACATGTCTTCTTTCTTTACCTATGATATTGTCAATTGTTTTACAATATCTGTTTTCTTCCTTTACCTATGATATTGTCTACTGTTTTACAATATCTGTCTTCTTCATTTACCGATGATATTGTCTATTGTTTTACAATACATGTCTTCTTCCTTTACCTATGATATTGTCAATTGTTTTACAATATCTGTTTTCTTCCTTTACCTTAGATATTGTCTATTGTTTTACAATATCTGTCTTCTTCCTTTACCCATATGATATTGTCTATTTTGTATCACAATACATGTCTTCTTTCTTTACCTATGATATTGTCTATTGTTTTACAATATCTGTTTTCTTCATTTACCGATGATATTGTCTATTGTTTTACAATACATGTCTTCTTCCTTTACCTATGATATTGTCTATTGTTTTACAATATCTGTTTTCTTCCTTTACCTATGATATTGTCTATTGTTTTACAATATCTGTCTTCTTCCTTTACCCATATGATATTGTCTATTGTTTCACAATATCTGTCTTCTTCATTTACCGATGATATTGTCTATTGTTTTACAATACATGTCTTCTTCCTTTACCTATGATATTGTCAATTGTTTTACAATATCTGTTTTCTTCCTTTACCTTAGATATTGTCTATTGTTTTACAATATCTGTCTTCTTCCTTTACCCATATGATATTGTCTATTTTGTATCACAATACATGTCTTCTTTCTTTACCTATGATATTGTCTATTGTTTTACAATATCTGTTTTCTTCATTTACCGATGATATTGTCTATTGTTTTACAATACATGTCTTCTTCCTTTACCTATGATATTGTCTATTGTTTTACAATATCTGTTTTCTTCCTTTACCTATGATATTGTCTATTGTTTTACAATATCTGTCTTCTTCCTTTACCCATATGATATTGTCTATTGTTTCACAATACCTGTCTTCTTCCTTTACCTATGATATTGTCTATTGTTTTACAATATCTGTCTTCTTCCTTTACCCATATGATATTGTCTATTGTTTCACAATATCTGTCTTCTTCCTTTACCTATGATATTGTCAATTGTTTTACAATATCTGTTTTCTTCCTTTACCTATGAAATTGTCTATTGTTTTACAATACATGTCTTCTTCCTTTACCTATGATATTGTCTATTAATTTACAATACCTGTCTTCTTCCTTTACCTATGATATTGTCTATTGGTTTACAATATCTGTTTTCTTCCTTTACCTTAGATATTGTCTATTGTTTTACAATATCTGTTTTCTTCCTTTACCTATGATATTGTCTATTGTTTTACAATACATGTCTTCTTCCTTTACCTATGATATTGTCTATTGTTTCACAATACCTGTCTTCTTTCTTTACCTATGATATTGTCTATTGTTTTACAATATCTGTTTTCTTCCTTTACCTATGATATTGTCTATTGTTTCACAATACATGTCTTCTTTCTTTACCTATGATATTGTCTATTGTTTTACAATATCTGTTTTCTTCCTTTACCTATGATATTGTCTATTGTTTTACAATACATGTCTTCTTCCTTTACCTATGATACTGTCTATTGTTTTACAATATCTGTCTTCTTCCTTTACCTATATGATATTGTCAATTGTTTTACAATACATGTCTTCTTCCTTTACCTATGATATTGTCTATTAATTTACAATACCTGTCTTCTTCCTTTACCTATGATATTGTCTACTGTTTTACAATATCTGTCTTCTTCCTTTACCTATGATATTGTCTATTGTTTTACAATATCTGTCTTCTTCCTTTACCTATATGATATTGTCTATTGTTTTACAATACATGTCTTCTTCCTTTACCTATGATATTGTCTATTGTTTTACAATACATGTCTTCTTCCTTTACCTATATGATATTGTCTATTGTTTCACAATACATGTCTTCTTTCTTTACCTATGATATTGTCTATTGTTTTACAATATCTGTTTTCTTCCTTTACCTATGATATTGTCTATTGTTTTACAATACATGTCTTCTTCCTTTACCTATGATACTGTCTATTGTTTTACAATATCTGTCTTCTTCCTTTACCTATATGATATTGTCAATTGTTTTACAATACATGTCTTCTTCCTTTACCTATGATATTGTCTATTAATTTACAATACCTGTCTTCTTCCTTTACCTATGATATTGTCTACTGTTTTACAATATCTGTCTTCTTCCTTTACCTGATATTGTCTATTGGTTTACAATACATGTCTTCTTCCTTTACCTATATGATATTGTCTATTGTTTTACAATACATGTCTTCTTCCTTTACCTATGATATTATCTATTGTTTTACAATACATGTCTTCTTCCTTTACCTATGATATTGTCTATTGTTTTACAATATCTGTTTTCTTCCTTTACCTATGATATTGTCTATCGTTTTACAATATCTGTCTTCTTCCTTTACCCATATGATATTGTCTATTGTTTCACAATACATGTCTTCTTTCTTTACCTATGATATTGTCTATTGTTTTACAATATCTGTTTTCTTCCTTTACTTATGATACTGTCTATTGTTTTACAATATCTGTCTTCTTCCTTTACCTATATGATATTGTCTATTGTTTTACAATACATGTCTTCTTCCTTTACCTATGATATTGTCTATTGTTTTACAATATCTGTCTTCTTCCTTTACCTATGATATTGTCTATTGTTTTACAATATCTGTCTTCTTCATTTACCTATGATATTGTCTATTGTTTTACAATACATGTCTTCTTTCTTTACCTATGATATTGTCTATTGTTTTACAATATCTGTTTTCTTCCTTTACCTATGATATTGTCTATTGTTTTGCAATGCCTGTCTTCTTCCTTTACACGACTTAACACGAATGCGGCCACTTCCATTTTAGACAAAAACCATCTGAAAAATGACGTTTTCTGGCATATTTGATAGATTTTTCATATTTAAGCTTGAATTTATGTGTCTTTAATGACCAAATCAGTTCAAATATTTTACATAAACTAATTGAACCAACTGAAGTAGACACTTAAGTGTTAAAAAATGTCAAAAATCTTTCATCAGATGTACTTCAAGTTTTAGGCCAAAATAAGCCCTTACTGGAGACTCTCCTTATCCCTTGCAGAATATCAATTAACTTCGATTGAAAACTCTTTCAATATGATGTTCCATTTTGGACCATATTAACATTTATTTACCAATAATAATGCAATAAATCTACACATGGGACCCTTCCCCAAAAAATAAAAGACAAGAAATAAACAAACTAAACAGACAGACAAACCAAATAAACTGTTAACACAGAGATATGTCTCACCTTTTTGTTATTTTGATAGTAATATGCAAATGTTGAAATTAAATAGCAATACTTTAACATGTAAGTTATGCAAAATATTCAAAGTCAATGAACCATGACTGAAGGTACATGACCAAATAATCTCATGGAAATGAGATGTGCCAATGCTTATATATATATGCATAAAAAATATCAATGAACTACCACTAGTGGTTCCCCAATAACTGACCTAATCACAAACTAATACATGTAAACTAAGCAAAAGTTTTTAAGTCAATAGACCACGACTGAGGGGGCGGGGCCAAACAATCTCCATGGTAATGAAATGTGCCAATACTAATACAACTGGATACAAAATATCATTGATCTACCACTAGTGATTCCCTATAAACTGCCCTAATCACAAACTAATAAATGTAAACTAAGCAAAGTTTTCAAGGTCAATAGACCATGACTGAGGAGAGTGATCAAATAATCACCAAGGAAATGAGATGTACCAATGATTATATAACTGAATACCAAATAATATTGACCTACCACTAGTGGTAACCCAATAACTGACCTAATCACAAACTAATACATGTAAACTAAGCAAAAGTTTTAAAGTCAACAGACCACTACTGAGGGAGCAGGGCCAAATAATCTCCATGGAAATGAGATGTGCTAATGCTAATACAACTGCATATCAAATATCATTGATCTACCACTAGCGGTTCCCCAGAAACTGTCCTAATTACAAACTAATACATGTAAACTAAGCAAAAGTTTCAAAGTCAAAATATTAGACCACGACTGAGGGGCAGGGCCAAATAATCTCCATGGAAATGAGATGTGCCAATGCTAATACAACTGCATACCAAATATCATTGACCTACCACTAGTGGTTCCCCACAAAACTGACTTAATCACAAACTAATACATTGTTGACGCCGCTGCCGACACCGGAAACAGCATACCTATGTCTCGCTTTTTGACTCTGTCAAGGCGAGACAAAAACTGATAAAAACAAAACAAAAACAAAAACAATAACAATATAATCAGTTTACCCTGTAAAGTATCAAAATTTAAAAAAAATAAATGTGGATAGTGTCCACATGTGGACACAGATGATGCCCCCGCTTGCATATCATAGAGTTATCAAAAGACATAACTGAAGAACGGTAAAAGTGACACTACCCAAATTTGAACTTGATCTGAGTTTTGTGGTAATAAGCATTGTGTGTAAGTCTCATAACATTTGGTTGAGACTAACTTAAGTAGAGAACAGACACTAAAAATTCAGCAATTTTTATACGACCGCAAAAAATTTTTGCGGTCGTATACTGGTATGACGTTGGCGTCGTCGTCGTCCGAAGACACATTGGTTTTCGCACTCTAACTTTAGAATAAGGTTCAATACCACAAAAGGAAGGTGGGGATTGATTTTGGGGGTTATGGTACCAACAGTTAAGGAATTAGGGGCCAAAAAGGGGCCAAAAATAAGCATTTTCTAATTTCCAGACAACAACTGTGGAACGGTGTATGGATCTCTCTGAAATTATACTACAAGTTTCCATACCACAAAGGGATGGTTAGGATTTGCTTTGGGGGGTTATGGCTCAAACCGTTTAGAAATTAGGGGCAAAAAAGGGGGAAAAACAAGGTTGTCCTGGTTAATGGCCAAATACTTTAGTACAAAACATAATTTAAAGCAGTGTAAGGGAGATAAATCAAATACATCATTGAAATTATCTCCCTTACACTGCTTTTAAATTATGTATAAAGTAATGGTTAATGAACAATTAAGATAATTTAAAACAGTGTAAGGGAGGTAATACAAATACAACGTTTTGGTTACTTCCCTTACACTGCTTTTAAATTATGTTTAAAGAAATGCATATTTATAAAGAAAGACCAGTAAAAATATCTGCAAATGTTGCATCTTTTTTTCATAAAAATCCATATGAAAGATTTGACACTATATTTTAAATTCTATTATAAAATAGATTAAGTTAGCACTATGGTAAATTTAAATGGGTAATTATGGTTGCAAACTCCATTGGAAATTTGAATTGAGATTATGACCATATCTTGAGGGAAAGAATTTATTTGGGGAAAAAAAGGGGGGGGGGGGGGGGGGTAAAAAGAAATTGTGGGGGGTCAATTTTTTCTCATTTCAGATTTCAGAAATTAAAAAGAATTATTCTTCAAATATTATTTTTTTTCAAATTTCAAATATTGAAAAATTTCAAGAAGTAATCTTTAATTGCACAGTATGGCACATTAGATTTGTAAAATCTTTGACCACTTTATTTATTTGTTATGCCGAATCTAACTGTGTATTTAAATTTTTAATTTTGGGTCCAGTTTTCAAATTGGTCTACATTAAGGTCCAAAGGGTCCAAAATTAAACTTTGTTTGAATTTTAACAAAATTGAATATATGGGGTTCTTTGATATGCTGAATCTAAACATGTATTTAGATTTTTGATTTTTGGCCCAGTTTTCAAGTTGGTCCAAATTGGGGTCCAAAATTAAACTTTGTTTGATTTCAACAAAAATTGAATATATGGGGTTCTTTGATATGCTGAATCTAACCATGTATTTAGATTTTTTATTTGTGGGCCCCACTATCAAATTGGTTCATATTGAGGTCAAAAGGGTCCAAAATTAAACTTTGTTTGATTTCATCAAAAATTGAATTATTGGGGTTCTTTGATATGCCAAATCTAACCGTGTATTTAGATTTTTAATTTTGGGTCCTGTTTTTTTAATTGGTCTACATTAAGGTCCAAAGGGTCCAAAATTAAACTTTGTTTGATTTTAACAAAAATTGAATTCTTGGGGTTCTTTGATATGCTGAATCTAAACATGTGTTTAGATTTTTGATTTTTGACCCAGTTATCAAGTTGGTCCAAATTGGGGTCCAAAATTAAATCTTTGTTTGATTTCAACTAAAATTGAATATATGGGGTTCTTTGATATGCTGAATCTAATCATGTATTTAGATTTTTGATTTTTGACCCAGTTATCAAGTTGGTCCAAATTGGGGTCCAAAATTAAACTTTGTTTGATTTCAACAAAAATTGAATATATGGGGTTCTTTGATGTGCTGAATCTAACCATGTATTTAGATTTTTTATTTGTGGGCCCGCTATCAAATTGGTTCATATTGAGGTCAAAAGGGCCCAAAATTAAACTTTGTTTGATTTCATCAAAAATTGAATTATTGGGGTTCTTTAATATACCAAATCTAACCATGTTTTTAGATTTTTAATTTTGGGTCCTGTTTTTTTAAATTGGTCTACATTACGGTCCAAAAGGTCCAAAATTAAACTTTGTTTGATTTTAACAAAAATTGAATTCTTGGGTTTCTTTGGTATGCTGAATCTAAACATGTATTTAGATTTTTGATTATGGGCCCAGTTTTCAAGTTGGTCCAAGCTGGGGTCCAAAATTATACTTTTTATGATTTCAACAAAAAATGAATATATGGGGTTCTTTGATATGCTGAATCTAACCATGTATTTAGATTTTTTATTTGTGGGCCCCGCTATCAAATTGGTTCATATTGAGGTCAAAAGGGTCCAAAATTAAACTTTGTTTGATTTCATCAAAAATTGAATTATTGGGGTTCTTTGATATTCCAAATCTAACCGTGTATTTAGATTTTCAATTTTGGGTCCCGTTTTTAAATTAGTCTACATTAAGGTCCAAAGGGTCCAAAATTAAACTTTTTTTGATTTTAACAAAAATTGAATTCTTGGGGTTCTTTGATATGCTGAATCTAAACATGTGTTTAGATTTTTGATTATGGGCCCAGTTTTCAAGTTGGTCCAAGTTGGGGTCTAAAATTAAACTTTGTTTGATTTCAACTAAAATTGAATATATGGGGTTCTTTGATATGCTGAATCTAAACATGTATTTGGATTTTTGATTTTTGACCCAGTTATCAAGTTGGTCCAAATTGGGGTCCAAAATTAAACTTTGTTTGATTTCAACAAAAATTGAATATATGGGGTTCTTTGATGTGCTGAATCTAACCATGTATTTAGATTTTTTATTTGTGGGCCCGCTATCAAATTGGTTCATATTGAGGTCAAAAGGGTCCAAAATTAAACTTTGTTTGATTTCATCAAAAATTAAATTATTGGGGTTCTTTAATATACCAAATCTAACCGTGTTTTTAGATTTTTAATTTTGGGTCCTGTTTTTTTAAATTAGTCTACATTACGGTCCAAAGGGTCCAAAATTAAACTTTGTTTGATTTTAACAAAAATTGAATTCTTGGGGTTCTTTGGTATGCTGAATCTAAACATGTATTTAGATTTTTGATTATGGGCCCAGTTTTTCAAGTTGGTCCAAGCTGGGGTCCAAAATTAAACTTTTTATGATTTCAACAAAAATTGAATATATGGGGTTCTTTGATATGCTGAATCTAACCATGTATTTAGATTTTTTATTTGTGGGCCCCGCGATCAAATTGGTTCATATTGAGGTCAAAAGGGTCCAAAATTAAACTTTGGTTGATTTCATCAAAAATTGAATTATTGGGGTTCTTTGATATTCCAAATCTAACCGTGTATTTAGATTTTTAATTTTGGGTCCTGTTTTTAAATTAGTCTACATTAAGGTCCAAAGGGTCCAAAATTAAACTTTTTTTGATTTTAACAAAAATTGAATTCTTGGGCTTCTTTGATATGCTGAATCTAAACATGTGTTTAGATTTTTGATTATGGGCCCAGTTTTCAAGTTGGTCCAAGTTGGGGTCCAAAATTAAACTTTGTTTGATTTCAACAAAAATTGAATATATGGGGTTCTTTGATATGCTGAATCTAACCATGTATTTTGATTTTTGACATTGGACCATAATAGGTAAATTAAAAAAATTCAAGTTCTTAGACCACATTCTTTCTGTGTCAGAAACCTATGCTGTGTCAAATATTTAATCACAATCCAAATTCAGAGCTGTATCAAGCTTGAATGTTGTGTCTATACTTGCCCTAACTGTTCAGGGTTCGACCTCTGCGGTCTTATCAAGCTGCGCCGAGCGAAGCATTTTATTCTATTTGTAAACACGCATAACTCTAGAACTGTTGTGTATAAGTTTTATATTTTGGTTGAGACAAACTAAAGTTAGAGAACGGAAACGAAAAATTCAGCAATTTTTATGTTTATAAAGGGATATAACTCACGAATGGTAAAAGTGTTGCCACCAAATTTCGTACTTAATCTGTATTATGTAGTAATAAGCATTGTGTATAAGTTTCATAACATTTGGTTGAGGCAAACTAAAGTTAGAAAACGGAAACAAAAAATTTGTACTTGATCTTAGTTTTGTGGTAATGAATATTGTGTTTAGGTTTCATAATGTTTGGTTGGGGCAAACTTAAGTCACAGAATGGAAACTAAAAATTTTGCAATCTTTTGATTTATAAAGGGGCATAACTCAATAATGGTTAAAGTGACACTACCCAAATTCAACTTGATCTGTGTTTTATCAGTGGAAGTCAAAATTAAACATTGAATTGTATAAAGCATTGATTGTAGTTGATTCAACTATAATCATGGACAAAGGAAGATAACTCCAATTTTAAAAATTACTTGATATTTAGAAGAAAATAAAAATTTTGCAATTTTTCCATTTATAAAGGGGCATAATTCTAGAAAGGTTAAAGTGACGCCACCAAAATTCATACTTGATCTGTGTTTTGTGGTAATAAGCATTGTGTAAAAGTTTCATAACATTTGGTTGAGGCAAACTTAAGTTAGAGAACGGAAACTAAAATTTTTGCAATTTTTCCATTTATAAAGGGGCATAACTCTACAACGGTTAAAGTGACTCCACCAAAATTCGAACTTGATCTGTGTTTTGTGGTAATAACCATTGTGTATAAGTTTCATAACATTTAGTTGAGGCAAACTAAAGTTAGAGAACGGAAACCAACTTTGGGACGTACGGACGGACGTACAGACGGACAAGGGTAAAACTTAATGCCCCCTCCGCTACGGCGGGGGTATAAAAACATTATTCAAGACAAGACATGAAAATGAATGGTAAAAATTGGTTAAGAAATGCAGTGTCCTATTTTGGTATTTGTTTGCCTGTTGCAAGATGTTTTGTCACTGCGGAATGACCAAACTTCCATGTTTACACATTAGATAGTCACTCCCTCCCTAATAAATACTTGTTCCTTTCCAGATTATGATGTAAATTTAGACCTCATGAAAATGCCTGATTTTTACATTTATTTGAAGGTTGTGGACGTCACATAGAAGTTGTCTTAGAAGATGTACCAGTACATGAAAGATGTTCTTGTCCAAAGAAAAAAGCATGTGCTATATCATGACAGAGGTATTTACACCTATAGAATATATATGATCTGAAATAAAGTATTTAAAGGGCAGATGGAGCAATGCATCTTTTCTAGCCAAGGGTTACATTCTGGCCACTCCTCTCTTTTTAGTGAAGATGGGGGAGTGTGGAGGAGGCACAGATATAGATAGAAGTGAAATTCCTCACCCTTTTTCATGCTCAGCCGAGTATGAAATTATAGTTATGCTCTGTATTATGTATGACTTTTGTGTTATCTCGTTATCCTATGAAAACCTGAAATATTTTAAGTAGCATGTAGTTTGCAAGCTTCTGATTATGTTTAAAACAAAAGATTTGTATATCCATGAGGTTTGACTGTACCTGTTCACAGATTTTAGAATATATACCCCTTTCTATTCAAAAGAAGATTAGATTGTTTGTAGCTTGAGAAGAACTTTATTGCACCTTTATCAAAGATGTCAAAAGAAAATTGTCTGTCTGTGCAAGGTTTATTGTGTTTTCACTGTACAAATTATCTATGAGACTTGTTTGGAGACTATCAAATCTCCATCTTTTTTCACAAAGGCTCATGTATTAAGAGATAGGGTAGGGATAATATCATCTAGAAGTTTAGAGATAGCCTCGTTTTGAGATTTTGTCATATTTTTTTTTTATTTACACAATAGCTGTCCTAGATTTTTATATACAAGTATGTAAATGTTAGTGTAAGACTGATGCTCACATTTACTTTTATCAAAACCTATGTGTAAAAGGACATTATTTTACATCAAAAACTATGTAAGTCAATTTTGACAAGGTAATGATGTCAAATTGACAATCACATCATAGATATTATTTAAGAAATAATTCTCTCATGCCATACTCTATTCTCATTTTAACATATACCGAGTGTTGTAAAATGTTGATGAATATAATGCCTACCCATGTTAAAATGAGCATAGAGCATGGCATGATAGAATCATTTCAATTCTGATAGGAAAATTTTGAACTTTTGTACTTCTAAGAGGGCATACAATGCACGTTCGAAAGGCAGTCATTTTGATTTTATGAAGCAAAACGATATAGAAAATCAACCGTTTCACGATAAAAAATGAACAGATACATGTAAACTTACTTTTAGAATGTTTTTATTTAATTTCCTAGCGAGCAACACTAACACAAATGTCCATTTTGTTCTCCGGCGTTGTTAAAAAAACAACTGACGTTGCAATTTCAATTGTGACGTCTTATCACGTACAACCCATGTTCTATTGCAATTAGAACATGGCTTTGTTTCCAAAGCGAAAGAAGAACTTCATATTAGAATTCTACATTAATGTGACTAAACTACATCATACTAAACATTATCAACAAAATAAATATAATTTTGAAAGTATTGAAAAATTTTACTATTTCATTTCATCTTTTTTTAACCGTTTTGTCATTTTAAGATGCTAATTTGTTTTCCCTTATTTGTATTTTTGTAGGCTACAGCTGAGGATCATGAAAAATATTCAGAAGATTAATGTGAATCTCATAACATGCAGCATTTTAGATTTAGTCAAGACATTATTTGGTGCATTTTCTTTTTTTTGTGATTATTAAGTGTAAAATGTTATTTTTAGTTTATGTTTAAATTATTTTATTTGTTATAGATAATTTTATGCTAAAGAGTAGAGATGATACTTTATTGACTGTTTGTTTTTCGAACGTTTTAAAATTTGTATAGATGACATGGATGAAATTAAATGTACTTGACATTTTTGTCTTATATGGTACACAGATAAAAGCAAACTGGAAAATCCTGCAAATTTGGCAATTATAGATCAATGGAACTGACAACAGTTAATCCAATTTGTAATATTGAAACAGCACCATTGTGATACAGGTTAGATTTCCAAACATCAGTCAAAAATTCTGTCAGATGCAACAACACAAACAGTATTGTCAGAACTGATCTATATTACTGTTTTATGTCATGTCCAAGCTAAGTCAATTTTATTAAAAATCAGACAAGTTGAAATAAAAAAAAAAAAACCACTAACATGAAAAAATTTATGTTAAATTGAAGGATAAAAATAATAAATTTACTTTGTTGGAGAATAAAGTGTATAAATACTAGCTGTGAAAATGCTTCCTGGTTTCAAATACTCTTTATAATAAATTTACATTTTTCAACAATGTATGTGCATTATATATTTTTTGCATTTTCTTTCATATTATAATATCTGTTGCTTGCTTTCATCGGTTTTACTCAAGCTTGTGTTCTATTTAGAATCTATTTAGGGCTATTCAAGAAAAACATGTATGGGAGCGTTTGAACACTTCATATTTTTTCTATGGGTAATACTAAGGGTTGAACCTAATACAATTCTGTTACAAATAAAAATCAAAATTACAGGTGGAGTGGAATTGTTGTCAAACTCCCCATACATTTTTCCTGGAATGGCCCTATTAAAGGTTTTTTGGGTTTGTTTTTTTTGTCATAAACAAAACTTGAAGTTAACTGCAGATACTGTTTTATGTAATATAAGAAATGATTTTTTGGTTCAATTTTGTTTTTTTATTATTGCAATACACGAACGTTGATAGATAATATTGTAAGTAAAATTCCATGATAATGAATCTCATTGCATTTCAGGGGAGGCAACTCTGAAACTTTTGTCTATGTCTACCATATACATGTTGTAAGTGTATTATAATTGTTTCATGTTTTTATTGATTTTATTTTTGATTTTTAGTGTTTTAATGCCACTTTTAAGCACCTCTTTTGGGTTATTTCGTGGCGGCCAGTTTTTATTGGTGGAGGAAGCTGGAGTGCCCGGAGAAAACCACCGACCTTCTATAGGAAAACTGACAATCCTAGTCATTTAAGATTGGAGTCGAGTGCACCCGCACGAGCGGGGTTCGAACTCACAACCTCAGTGTTGACTGGCTAGTGATAGTAGTAACTACTTAGACCACTCGGCCACCGAGGCCCTTATTTTTATTGATGTAATCTCCCAACTGTTCAATAAATGTATTGTGACAATTTCTTTTCTAAGAAAAAATACCTCTATCTAATCAAACAACCATAAAAAGACAACCCAAATATTTGGAAATGATTTTTTTTCTGTTGTTTCCAAATGAGAGCAAACACTATTCTGTTATTTCAACATTGCATGCATTATCAGAAGAATGCAATTACATGTATATGCATAAGCCATAACTAGAAAAGAGTGTTTAAGTCAAGAACATTGGCATCCTGCACAAAACATCAGGTACATCCTTTAATCAATAAACATGGATATGAAATGGCCTTAATAGCATACTATCATCTCAAATAGTAATGCGCTTCATTATTCTGAATTATGATTAATAAAAAAATCATGACTTCAATGCCCAGGAAAACTTAAATTCTGTGTATTTTTTAAATTTCTGGCATTGCTTTAAAATCATATTGGTAAGTTCTTAAGTTACATGCATCTGTTTAAGGAGAAGTTATATTTTTGAGTAATTTATATAACCTTTTATTGCATTGTAAACAAAAATAGCTTTTTTTGGTAATATTGCAAGCCTATTAGACCTTAAAATGCTATAAAGTGTAATTTACTGAGAACAGACCATAAATTACGTCAAAACTTACCATACATGTGCTTGACATCATTAAAAATTAAAATGAACAGTGAATGTGTTGTATTCCCCATTGGGCAAACTTATTTTACACAATTTACATGATTGTATTTTAAAAATAGTGAAGGCTATGTATGATAAAATTAAAGCAAAAATAGTCAATGTGTTTATTCATTCTATGGTTCATTATTCTTTTTTTTCTTGGGGATCATTGAAAAAAACAAAGATTAATTATCTATTAATAAAAGAAGACAGCAACCCATAGACACTAGAACCAAAAGACAACTAGAGGTCAATATAAGGTTATCGATAATAGACAAGTGTCTATGTAAAATATGAGCTGCCTTGGATAGAAATTGACCTTATGCAAAGGAATATCAATACATCTGTAAACCTATTTCAGGTTGAGAAAATCTCTACGGAAAGTCTGTAACTGTTTGACGCAGTGCATTTCAAGCTCTAAATTTGCTAACTTTATGAAAGTTACAAATGAAAAGAACAGAGACTAATTAATTTCTTTGTTTTGCTGAAAACAAAAATAAACTAAATTCATACAAATTAAAAAATGATGAACAGAAACCATATTTATAGAACAACTCCTCTTTATGACCCTATTGTTGGCTTGATGAACAAGAATGTCGTTTGTGTATACTGAACTTTCAAGGATTCATAATTCCTTGAACCAAAGAAAATAAATTTCTAAGACAGGAAAGTGAGACATGTGTTTATTTTTATAAGTAAGTCTGAATTTATTTAGCTGCCGAAAAGGAGAGAACATTTGAACCTTTCCCATGGAAAAGTAATTTGAATCACACTGCTTTTTACCAGTGAGAGATATTAGCACAGTTTGAGATTCATGATAATTCTTTTTCTTCTCTTAATGTCTGAAGCTTCTTGTAATTTTTACTTGGTGACGTCTCATCAAAGCTAGGGATCACTAAAGGTTGAGATTTGTCAAAAACTTCACTGTTACGATACATCATATACACACAGGCTGCTAGTCCTCCCATGTTGATCCCCACAGCATTGGTTCTTTTCCAGTACTTAGACACTAACTGCATGGCCTGAAACAAATATGAACTGTCTAAGAATTAAATAAATACAGCTCTGTCGAGACATCAACATTAGCTGATAATAATTACATACGAGCTCATCTTCATTGCCTTTAAACTTCTTACATCTAAACATTCTTTGTTGTATGATATTAAAACAGACAGCAGAAACTATTATTTAACATATATTCACTACAACTGCATAAAATTTGAAACTGAAAAATAACAATTTACCAAAATATTTTGACTTTATCAGGTGTTATCTTTCTTCCATATCTTTCATTAATTATCCTACATAATAGTAGATTTTAGGATGTTGTAAATTGCACTAAACCTTATTCAGCAACATGTTTGTAAAAAACACAGTAAAATGATTTAAATAGATGATATCTTACAACTGCCTAGTTTTCATATGAAACAAATTAAAGGGAGGTAAATCAGAAAACCAAATTTTACCAGTAAGAAATATTACCTTGTTAATTCCCTTTTTGTCCTGGGTCAGAAGGCACACCCTTCCTGATTTAAGTTTTGTCACTCTTGACATCTCATGTAGTACTTTAGGGTATAAACTAGAGTTCTCTTTCTTAGAACCCAATCTACAAAATACATCAAACAAAAATATTAATATGCATACTTTGATTAGAGCAGATTACAAGTCATTAGACAGTTTCCTACAGAACTATTACTTCATATATATAACCTAATTAGAAATTTAAGGCCATTCAATTACAGAAAAGGTGAAAATAAATAAAGACAGCAAGTATGATAATAACTTGTTGCAGATGATTTTTTTGCCAAAATCTGGTCATTGTTGAATTTGTTTTTTTTTTATTAGAAGTTTAATGTTTACAACTTTGCCTGGTGGAAATTCTTTCCTTTTGACATTGCTGTAATTTTATATCTCAAACTTTAGTAGAAAAACATTTCTATGCAATGGAATACAGATTGGTCATGGTAGCTGTATATTATGAAAAAGATTTGTAAAGATGAATACTGGTATACATTGCCATGATTATGTAGTACATTGAAAATTGTAGTCTTTTCACTAAAAGCTATACCTTTTATAGTGTATTTTTATTAATGGATATTTTTTCATGTTTAAAGTACATGTACTAGTAATTAATGATTATGAATTTTAGAATTATGCCTGTAATTATTTTGACTTCCTCATTTATAATGATTTGTCAATTCATTAACTTTGGTGACTAAAAAATGTGAATTACTGCATTTAGCATGTTAAACATGCATTCAAACTCACCTTACTCCAAATGGCTGAAAGAATAAATCAAATTAAGATAAGCTTTTAAATCATTTCTTTTAAATTATCAACATAGCTGTTATACTTTAGAATTAAACACATTATTTATAGAATGGCCTTTACAAGGTAGGATTTTCCATCCAATTTTCAATCCAATTTGATACTGTCGCCCAGGTAAATAGTACAGCGTTCTGTTCACACGATATGATTTTCCATTCGATTAGCAAAAGGACATCCAATTTTAGTGTTCACACTGTGCGATTTTAGTTGAAAGCAGAGCCACAGGTAAAAATCGGAAAGAAAATTGTAGCGTGCAAACACACCTTTAGACCATTTTAAATGACAAAGTATATTTTTGTGATATGTACTTATACATTATCATTTGACTTTAAATATCACTCATTTTTATTTTTAGAAGTAATTCTAGTCAAAACTCTATGTCCATAGACAAAACAAGTGATTAATCAATTAGTGCTATGAAGGCATGGCAATCTAGAATTTGCAAATCAACGGTAGCAAAATATTCTAAAATATAGTTATTTAATCTTTGCCACCAAGTAATAACTGTAATGGCTATATGTCTTATACTGGTTACCATTGTAAATATTACCATTCAAAGATGGATATTATATACCAATCTTTCATTAAATTACCATAAGTGGAATCACATTTCAACACCAGAATCTTTTAATGAAATATTATCCAATTGCTGCTTGGTTTTTTTAAATTCTATTGTAACAAATTATACTAGAAAGATGTATACATACCAAATCAGTTATAAACACGGTAACTGATTCATCCTGTAAAGGGAGATTACTGGCATCCCATTTAATGGTTTGTACTTTAATATCTGGTCTGAAAATAAAGATTTTTATATGTATGACAAAACCTGTTCATCTATTCTGTGAACACAAATACAAGGAAAACTTTTAAATTCATGTCATTTGGTATCTGGTGGATAGTTGTCTCATTGGCAATCATACCACATCTCCTTATTTTATATTCATATAAGTGTGAAAATAAGATTTGGAAAGAAATAAAACAGTTAAATTTTTTCTATAGAAGTCCTCTTTTTAGAAATTTAGTAATCATACTTTGAATAGAAAATATATTTCTGATATTAGTATTAGAAGATATAACTTTTATAGAACATTTTGTAAAAAAAATATAAAAGGAAATAATTCATTAATTCACAATAAAATGCAGACAGCATTTTCCCTTTTAACAGACAGTGCAGGATGAGTAAATATACACCTTATCACTATTTAGTCCAATCTGGGAAAAACATTCACTTAGACAACTTCCTGTTGAGGTCAAGTGGAACAAATGAAGGTCATCAGCAATGAGCTGAGGGAGGAAAAATCTTGGAAAGTGGACATTTTAAAATTTTGATAGTTTAAGAAGCAATTTTCAAAAGACAAATTAAAGTCATTGAAAATGCTTTGTTTGATGTGTTAACGATGGTTTGAACATGTCTCTATGAAAAGTTTTATGCTCAATACATTGTTTGAACAAGGCTCCAGATAGCTTCAACTGGTTTGAAAAGTTGTGTAATTTTAGAACTTATCTGAATAGGAATAAATAGCGATAAGGTATATTGTCAAATACAAATAACCATTCTTCATTAAAAATGAATAGCAAAATGTTATAGCTTTTTTAGGGAGTATCAAATAATTTCAAAATTTTGTGATTCTTAAGTGGACTTCTACATAAAATAATCTTAATGTATTTAAATACTGTAAATTAGAGAAATCTCATTGTAATTGTTTATCAATATACAAAAATGATAGATTTATTGGTGAAATGTCAAGAAGTTGCCTATACAAATAATTCATTCAAAATTTTTAAAAATGTGATTTACAAAAAATGAATATGAAATCAATCTTGTTGGATTTTTCACAATTCAAAAACATTGGAAAAATACCTAAATTTAGAGTAATTATAATTAGAATTTACATGCTGATTTACAATGCTCAATGTGTTACTGTAAGATAAAAATAGTAAGATTCATACCTGCCAACTTTTCAAAATCTCCATTGGGGATTTTAAGTGCAAGAGGACCTAATGCTCCTCTTATATTGTCTTCAGTGATTTTAATCCACTACAATATTGTTTAAATGAGTGTGTTTGTGCTTAAATACCCTTTTAACTCATTTGAATGCTTATTTTGAGTGTTCAGTTTATATAATAAAGATTCATGTCAACACCCCTCATGGGGATATCCCTCATAAATCGGGATAGTTGGCAGGTCTATTTTTGTAATCATTGTAACTCTTTAAAAGGCTAAATAAAAAAACAAAACTTACAAAAACTACTGTCCAGCTTGGCATAGAATCTTACATTTTTTGTATGGACATGGATTAACTCGTAAGTGATGGTTCAGTGTTCACATGTTTTTATGAATAACATCATGGCAATAGTTATAGTTTGGCAACATGGAGGAAAGTTTGATCAAATATTGTGAAAAAAGTAATGTGGATGTTCTTTTAAAAATGCATTGCACAAGGTCATGTTTTTCTCTGACTATTAATGACGTCTTTACACTAAATCCATTGGATGTTGGATGTGTACTAATTGATATTTAAGTCTTAGATGCATGATTTTTTTATTAGTTGTTATTGGCTTTGAACTAGCTTTCAGTAACTGCAAGTGCTCTCAGATCTGTACTTAGTGTCTTTTTTGTTGTGGGGATGTATAAATACCCTGCCACGTACTATCTGTGTTTTTGTTTGATGTTTTTCTGCTCTGTATGGATCTGATAAGTTAAACCCTTTTCAACTGATTTACATAGCTTGTTTTTATGTTGTACTGTTGTTACACCACTGTCCAAGGTTAGGGGGAGGGTTTGGCGCCAACAAACTAGTTTAACCCCGCCACATTCTATATGCGCCTATTCCAAGTCAGGAGACTGAAACTGAGTGGTTGTCATTTATTGCTGTTTCTCATGTTTGTTTTTTTGTTTGTTGTTTTGCCTACTTTGTTCTTGCGTTGTGCCATTACACCACTGTTCCAGGATAGGGAGAGGGTTGGATTCTTAAAACAATTATGTATGTGCCTGTCCCAAGTTAGGAGCCTGTAATGTAGTGGTTGTCGTTTGTTCCTGTATATCATATTTGTTATTCGTTCATTGTTTTGTACATAAATCAGGCCATTAGTTTTACCGTTTGAATTGTTTTACATTTGTCATTTTGTTATAACTAACTATGCAGTTTGGATTTTACTCATTGTTGAAGGCTGTACAGTAACCTACAGTTGTGAACTTCTATGTCAATTGGTCTCTGGTGGAGTTGTGAAGCTGCTTTTTTACTTCAATATTTGAAGTAATTTCAAATTATCTAGCTTGACTTACTTTTCCTTCTCTGCTTGTAATTTATTAACATATTCTACGTTCTCTACTGTTCGGTCAATAGCTCTTTTGACAATTTCTCCAGCTAAATATGTACCTTCCGGCCAGTATAATGCTGCCTGACAAATAAAACATTTAACATTATTATAGAGCTCTCTGTAAGAATGTTCTTTGATAATTAGAATTCTTTACTTAAGAATAGTTAAAATGAATAATTTCTGGAAAAACCTTTCATTTAAGGAATGACTGTAATATTTTTTCTGTCTATGAAGAAATAACATCAAAAATGTGGTGCACACTGAATAACTCGCGTAGCAGGTTATTTTAAAGTGTACACCACATTTTTTATGTTATTTTGAATAGACAGAAAAAATATTACAGTAATTTCTTATAATTTAATTCTAAATTCCATTTTAAACCGGAGTAAACCATGAAAAAACATTGATGACATCACGGTCACATGACAAAATTATGTCTATGAGCTGATAAACAAAACAACGTCAGCCAATCAGAAGACGTGTTACATCCAAAATAAAATTATTGCCTGATAACCAGTACAGCTGATGTTAATAGTATGAAGTTGAGCAGTCCAATCAATAGCTGCTGTTAATAGTATGCAGTTGAACAGTCCAATCAATAGCTGCTGTTAATAGTATGCAGTTGAACAGTCCAATCAACAGCTGCTGTTAATAGTATGCAGCTGAACAGTCCAAACAATAGCTGCTGTTAATAGTATGCAGTTGAACAGTCCAATCAATAGCTGCTATTAATAGTATGCAGTTGAACAGTCCAATCAATAGCTGCTGTTAATAGTATGCAGTTGAACAGTCCAATCAATAGCTGCTGTTAATAGTATGAAGTTGAACAGTCCAACCAATAGCTGCTGTTAATAGTTTGCAGTTGAACAGTACAATCAATAGTTTCTTCACTTGAGTAGTAGGAGCTTAACATGATTGTTGCCTGTATCTTAAATGCGCTTTATGAAAGGATTAATGACCATAAAACTTAAAGTAAAAATTTAACCATTGTCATCTGCTTTGAATAAAATTTACTTATGTACTTTTAAGTATTAAAGAAATGCTCGTTGGTTTCAAGCTATAGTTCAAATAATGAATATTTTGAGATTACTTTTATACTGGTTTAATTAAAAATTGACAGTCAGTAAGAACAGCTGTGTTATGTATTGACTATGCAAATTAGTAGTGTTGGCTGAAGATATAGTGTACTCCCCTTCAAGTCATGCACAATGTTTTCAACCTCAGCTACTATTGTAAATTCAGAAATTATTGCAAGGTTTTTATTAATGCGAATAATGCGACTGGAAGAGTATTGCAATAATAAGAACTTGCATTCTGATATCTGATACATATATCCATATGAAACTTTTACTGAATTCGCAATGATAAATCTCACATTTTTGTTCAGTCTTCAAAAATTGCAATAATGAAAGAACACAATAATTTCTGAATTGACAGTATTTTCACATAGCTAAAAATGATAAACACAATAATAAAATTGAGAATGGAAACGGGGAATGTGTCAAAGAGACAACAACCCGACCAAAGGTAAGAATGCATACATGTGTTGTTGTACTAAGCATCCCCCCACTTGCAACTAAACGTATAGGAAAACATGAAGTAGGTCTCTGACATATCCTAATCAAAGTGCTTGTGAGCACTGAAGGGTAAAGATTGCTTCAAATTAAACATTGAATTTCATTTAGCTTAATTATATATTTTGAATTAGAGTTATCTTCCTTTGTTTATTATTGTACATTTTGTAGTTGAACCTATTTTTATAACAGATTCATACACAATGTACAACTGTAATATGTAATTCTTTCATAAAATAGTTTCCTTGACAAGTAAGGTAACTGCATATACAAAATTTTTTTTAATACACTAAATTTTGTAACTTGAATATCTGATTATTTTTCAAACATATCAATAATAAATAGCATGATATTGGCTGGATAGGATCTAAAGAATGTTCACCTCACAGCACAATGATGTCACAAATATCAAAGGTAGTGATAAACCTTGGAAGATAGAGATATCAAGCTAGCCACATAATGGTTTTGGTTGCATGAATGCAATCTTTACCCACTAAACACCTCATACGTTACAACTCATCACTGTCAAGCTGTTGACCAAATATGAATTGTTCAGTACTTCTTGCTTTTGCGCAATACTGTGCAATTGGAGATTTCTTGCTATTGCGCAATACTGTGCAATTGAAAATTTCTTGCTATTGCGCAATACTGTGCAATTGAAGATTTCTTGCTATTGCCCAATACAGTGCAATTGAAGATTTCTTGCTATTGTGCAATACTGTGCTATTGCTCAATACTGTGCTTTTGTGCAATACTGTGCTATTGCTCAATACTGTGCTTTTGTGCAATACTGTGCTATTGCCCATTACTGTGCAACTGAAGATTTCTCACTATTGCCCAATACTGTGCTATTGTGCAATACTGTCAATTGAAGATTTCTTGCTATTGCGCAATACTGTGCAATTGAAGATTTCTTGCTATTGCACAATACTATGCAATTGAAGATTTCTTGCTATTGCGCAATACTGTGCAATTGAAGATTTCTTGCTATTGCGCAATACTGTGCAATTGAAGATTTCTTGCTATTGCGCAATACTGCGCAATTGAAGATTTCTTTCTATTGCGCAATACTGTGCAATTGAAGATTTCTTGCTATTGCCCACTACTGTGCTATTGAGCAATACTGTGCAATTGAAGATTTCTTGCTATTGCGCAATACTGTGCAATCATTTGAAATTTCAAAAATTTTGAAGAAAAAAATATGAACCCCCCAAAAAAATTGGAAAAAAAAATCCCCCCAAACTTTTTGAACCCCCCTCCCCCTTGGAGTAATTACACCAAATTAATCCCAGCCTTCCCTTTGTGGTATAGAACCTTGTAGTACAATTTTAGAGAGATCCATACACTTAAACACAAGTTACTATCTGGAAACTAGAAAAATGCTTGTTTTTGGCCCCCTTTTTTTTTTTATAAAATTTGTATAGACTATGGACAATTTAGAGCTTTAGACATAGTGTATCAACACCTGTCTATTGTTGAAGACTGTATGTTTGTCCTCAAGATTTCTTTTGGTTATTTGTGTAAATGGGTTGCTGTCGCCAATATTTTCAACAAACCGCATATGTTTTCTAGAAATGGCATGCTAGCTGGTAAGTCTACTATAAGATCTGAGATAAAAGTCATTGAAACACTCATTAAATAATAAAGGATAAAAAAATAGATATTTAGAGGTCTTCACAGGTCAAATATGGACAAGCTTGGTCATCATAATGCAACCACTAAAATAATTGTGTCCAAGTTGTAATTCTTAATAGTAAGTCTAAAGCTAATTTAGAGGTGTAAATATGTGTATGCTGTTGATCAGTACAATTCAATTAGTGTATGATACTCCATCTATCGACTTTGTGTCTGAAACTGTATGAAACACTGAGAATTATACTGTTAGCCAACAATCTAGATTTCTGATGTAAACTTAAACAAAAAAACATACAATAACAGTAATTATTCACTGCTGTCGAAATGGTACAGACAAAAGTAGAAAGTTTAAAACATCTACCATAAAACTTTGCAAGGGAGATACTGTAAACCAACTTATTTTCCTGAATAACTTATTATAACAAGGAATTATTTGAATCTGGAATAATTTTGAATTCTGGAAAATTGATGAGAAATATATGATGAAAACTAACCCAACTAAATAGGGTTAGCCATGCACGCATGGCTAAGGGGGGTTAGTTAGTTCATACTGAAATGATAGTGAAAGTAAAATTAACCTTAGCCATGCACGCATGGCTAACCCTGTTTAGTTGGGTTAGTTTTCATCATACATTTCAAATCAATTTTCCAGAATTCAAAATTATTCCAGATTCAAATAATTCCTTGTTTTATGCATTTAGTCCTTTCCAGCCCACATCACTGCAACTTGTCTTCACAATTTTCTGATTTTTTTTATGTATTTCTAGAAAGAAAGACCCAAGTTTTATCTTTTCCCAACGATTTATATTCATGTGATGTTTCTTCATGCGAAAGACGCGAAAACAAATTGCTCACAAAAATAAGTTGCTTAACAGTAACTAAGTGTGCTTCTCTCATCAATCATTTAATACATCAACTATATCTCACTAATTTAAAACCTCAGTAAAATTTATTTAAGATTAACAATATTACAATAAGCTTCACCTCTCACATATATACGTATGTATTTTGGATAAATATTCGTTTTTTCCTCCCTCACTGTCTTAAATATATAAATCATGATTCGTATGTAACTTTCATTGCTTTTAGAGATAAATATGCTTCTACCATAGCTTTCACATATTAATGAGTTATAAATCTGTATCAGTGTCAACTATTATTTTATTTTTTCTGTACAAAATCAGTAAATTCAATCAAAACTTCAGTGTTATTGTTTAAATTGGATTTGTTAATAAAATGAAATTGATGTTTTCAATTATCTGAGTATAGTCAGACAATTTATGACAAAGTTTATGTAAACATTATTGGAAATTAGATGCCGACAATGACAGTTCTGTCTAAGTGTGAAGGTATAATATACCCATCAAATCTTAAATCATCAAGAAAGCTTTTAATATAACAATAAATAGTTGTAATGCTTCTGTGATTGTTACTTTTCTAAAAAAAAAACTTGAAAATAAACGAACATGTCATCTGACAGACCATAAGAATATTGACAATTACATTCCTGACTTTGAACAACACTTTCCATTTAAAGGGAATTAACTAAGAGATCAATTGATGATAGATATTGACAATACTTGACACATTCCTAAATTTGTACGAATCTTTTAAAAGATGTAGGACAAATAAGTCAACTGATGGATTCAGAATATCATGGTATTCAACTATTAAACAATATCAACAAGATGAAAGGCAATTACTTTTTTTATGATGTTTCTTTTCAAATATAAACAGAAATGTGCAATATTCAAATTTGATTATTTCATTTGTCTTTTTTCTTTTCTCAACAGATAAAACTTGATACCTTTAAATCAACTGAACTGAAAATCAATTTGAAGTGACCTCAGAGCATATTTTTATAGGAGGGTTTTCAGAAAGTACTTTGTGGCTATGGACAACATGTTGACAAAAATGTCAGTTTTACTTGAATACTGATGCTTTAAAACTTCAACGAACAAAATAATGATTTCAGCAAGCATGCTACATTGTAAATTTTTGTACTTTATCCTAGACATTTTCAAAACTCTTAAATGTCATCTTTGAAATAAATTCCTTTACTGTGTCATTATTACATATTGGACTGAAGTTAAAAATTATCTTGACAAGTATAACTTTATTTGAATTATGGAGCAATTTTACAAACTACAGTGAAATAAGAGTGTTGCATCATTTACACTTGGGCTAATCTGATGTTATGAATCTGAGAAACACATGATTTATGAGCATTTATTGGAATTTGTTAGTATTTGCAGCTGATAAAAACAATTCACAATTAATCATGTAAATAATCAGTTTTATCAAGTTTTTAAAAGACTGACAAATAGATTAAACAATAATTTAATTCACAGAACATTTACAACTTAGACCAGCAGGACTGACAAACTTGTTTACACTTTAACTTTTAATAATGAATGAACTTTGATAAATCTCAAAATGTCTTGGAAAAATATTAAAATCCAATACTTTTTATTATCACCATGTAAAGGCCAACGTAGGTAAATATGTCAAACAATGACAACTCATGATCAGGTATGTACAACACTAGCATTTCAATATCATGTAAAATTAGCAGATTAGCAATAGCAATCTAATGCCACATTTTTTATCACCTTTTAAAAAATGTCAAACATTATGATCAATATCATAACCATGGTAAGCTTTAAATGTGTTAATTCTACTTATGTCATATAAAAGTATTTTCTGACTGAATTTTGTCTTTGATTTTTTTTTTACTTATTTCTATCGCTTCGGAAGAGGTTTATCCTATAGATTCTTTAATGTGCAAAACCTTATTAACAATATTTGCAGTTTTATGACCAACTCTAGATCTAAAAAACACTTTTATGGGTTTAAATAATTAACACATCTATTTGCCTTGAGGGTATCGTTAACACACTTCTGTCCACCACAGACAATCAATTTCAACAGAAACACTCAAATCTCATACGGTATTTACTGTTTTGTAACACATAGGTGTTTGAATCAATTACATAAACTGTTCTTGTTAAAGGATACCATACTTTCATTTTCTTTATGTATCATTGTTATACCAGCAATAATTGTACCATAACTTTCGAAAACCAAAAAAAAAAACAACAGCATATTCACAATCATTCCATGAAGCAAATGTGATTTAATAGTGTATTCACTACAAAACACAATACCGGTAGGTTTTGAATATGTCAATGCATATTTTGCGTTCCTACACATATGTATAAAAGAGAAATGTTTGGCACTTTTCAAAAGACATAAAAAATCTAAACTTATCTAGAGGTCAACCTACAGTCTTCAACAATAGACAATCTAAACAATATGTAAAGCTCTTAATTGCCATGAGTTACCACAAGTTGTGAACAAATTCACCAAAACAATAAGATGAGACTGACAAGTTTATTCACATCCAACAGGGTTGTGAACATGTGAATTGATTAATCTAGTTTTTGAGCACTTAACCCTCCCCTCCCTCCTTTTGATCTGTGGAATACAAATTATATAACCATAAAAAGCTAAGAGTGAAAAACCATTTTTAAACATATTCTTGCCAATATTGGAATCGGAGATTTGCTTCTGCGTCAATTGGCATTTCATTTGTGCCAAACCATACTAGTACATTGTATAGCATTTGTGCCAAAATAATATGTTTCATTTGCACCACAAATATAGGTAAATATAGTTTAAATAACAGATTTATATTGAAGAGACTTTTAATGATAATATAAAAAAGGAAGATGTGGTATGATTGCCAATGAGACAACTCTCCACAAGAGACCAAATGACACAGAAATTAACAACTATAGGTCACCGTACGGCCTTCAATAATGAGCAAAGCCCATACTGCACAGTCAGCTATAAAAGGCCCCGAAATGACAATGTAAAACAATTCAAACAAGAAGACTAACGGCCTAATTTATGTACAATGTTACAACATAGTTATTGATACTAATTTAACATACACATCACAAATCGCAATCATCAATAAATCAAAATGAAAAGATTAAACACTGATTAGGTTATAAATGCTGAGATTGTACTTTTTGCTAGTCTAAATCGTGGTTGACTGTATCATTCAATGTTTTATAATGGTTTTTGCTGTCAACATCTGTTGAGATTCTGGATTTGCTATTTTTTATGGTAAATTTATACGATTTGTCTCTGTTTTTTCAATACAGAAGATATCTTGAAAGTGATGTCTTAAAAAATTACAGATGTATTTCCTCCTTTATTTATCTCTGAATGAATAATGTCCATTTTGGCACCTTAACATGTGAACACTATACTATTTTTTTACACCTTTTAGTAGTGTTTAGTGACTCTTAGTTATGTATGAGAAATGAATATGAACTCACTTACTTACCCAATGGGAGGGAGGATACTCTATTACATTTCTTATCCTAGCCTTGTATTCAAGATATGACTTACATTAAAACGTTTCCATTTTATTTTACCTGTAAATTGGTGTGAAAACAGTTTTTATTTCTGGCGCAAATGAAATACAACCCTGTGGCGCAAATGTTATACTGCATTTTTCAAAAATTGGTGCAAATGGAATGTGCCCTTTGTAATAACATTTAGTAAGGGTTTTAACAAATATCTGATAACTATATCCCTGTTTTAAAAGTCTCTTAGTAATAAAAAATAACTTTCACTGGAATCTTGGACACCCCTGAAAACATATGCATATCCAACCAACTGAAAAATCTATATTCCATAAGAAGGATATTGATAAAAGAAACTTACAGTGAGTGTTCTGTGTGGAAGCCAATTCAACTTTGTAATGGCAGCAATAAAAGCACTTTGTCTTTGCTTTTAAGTTTTGTTAAGCACATATATAGGGACTTTTTGTATCATAATAGATATTCAATATATATATCCCTTTTTTCCATTGCATTGTTAGAGTTTGTTTTTGCCTTATTTTCATACAATTATACAATAGATACTTTTCCATGCTTGAAGTATGTTCTCTTATATTTTCCAAGTAGCAATGGTGTATCATTCTTGAGATAACTTCTCTCATGTGTGCTTCTCTACTTTTTCTCTTTTGGTCTTAATGTATATCAAAATTGTTATGCAGTCCATCCAAATTATTTGCTTTATTCATAAATACAATATTTCAAATCAAGTTATCTAACAAATATTTTAATGTAACCTGTTGGGGTGAATTTTTCTCTCTCCGTATTTTACAGTTATATTGTCCGGCAAATCATGACAGTATCTTGTAGATTTTTTTCTTCTGTCATAGTAATTTGTTGAAATTACTTCACATCCTTGTTCTTCAATGCACAGATGCAGTATTATCAACAACAGGAAACAATTCATATCTAACTGGTGCTAGGTGCCATCTTGAAGTTGGTGGTAAAGAATTTTTTCTCTCAATGTGTTTGCTATTGCTAATTAATTCATTTTCGTGTTTCCAGCTTGTCATTCAATGTGTTTCGTGCAAATTGGTTGAAAAGCAACATGCAAGCTACTTTGTTATTTTTTGTTCATCTCCTTCACATACTCCCCTTCATGACCCATCTTGAACTTTTGTGTGAGATTTAGGTCCGTGTTGATAGACGCATTGTGAATTTGAGATGAAGAACAGTAATAAAAGCACTGTTTTTCTGCTTTGAGGTTTGTCAAGTATCAAGAGACTTCCTGTCATGGAAAAAAAACCAACCATATTCTTCTTTTCTAATATAAAAAACTTTTTTTTTTTGTAATTTTTATGAAAAGAGCAGTGTTTCTTAAACATTTCAGAAAAAAACATTACAATGTAGTATGTTTGATGAATGCAGTATAAAGCAACCACAAAAAAATGGCACTTTATAAACCATACCTGTATAGGAATGACACCACTGCCACACATTGGATCACAAATTATCTCCCCTGGCTGTATTTTACACATCCTAAAATTTAAGTTTCATAATTCTTACTATCACTTTCATAAAATTCAGAGTGTAACCACAAATTCAATGAAAATGGTAACTGCAGACTCAAGATACTAGAAGGGCCATAAATAACCAGATACAGCGATTATCACAATATGAGGTTTTTAGCTGAATTCCTTATCCTGTTAGGGACATCACTGAAATAAATATTATATTGTCAAGCCAAAGGAAATATACTGTAACAAAGAGAGTGGATTAAGAGCATCTACTTCAACTTTGTATGAGTACCTTGCTAAAGATTACTTACTTACCCGTTTTTGATTACTTGTACTTGCTTTCACTGTTATTCCTTTGCTTTTATTGTAAATGACTGAATTCTTGGTCTTACATCATCATGATTACTTAGTTTTTTTATTACAATCATTTGTTTATTTGACATTATTTTAAGTGATATGTATGTTTTTGGGTATAAAATCTTCATCTGTACATTGAGCAAAGGGGTGGATATCTTAATTGGGATGATTTCCATATTACTGCTAAGAGAAATGATAAAAGTAACATACATTGTACATTGTACTTTTGTTGGTAGGATTAAATAATGTACATAAAATACAGAGATGATTTCTGTAATTTAAAGCCCGCATAATCATATTTAATGACCTTGTCAGTTCAATTATGCAGAGATTAAGTTTGCCTGTGAAATTTGTAAATGACATAAAAATGACTTTTTTTCCCCAATTATGGAAATGATAAGAATCAAGCATATTAGTTGACCCAAATACAATTAATTAGTTTCAAAGTAATTCCTATATTTAATGTGATTACTGAAAAAAATGAAAACAACACGTTATAAATTTCATGCGTCCAAAGCACTTTTCTGGATTCATCTTCATCAGGAATGCTCAAAGCCAAATATTTTAAAGCCAAGGATGTATAAGAACCGAAACAGTTGAAGAGATATATGACTAAAAAGGACCTAACAAATAGCCAAATCCATCTAAGGTCAACTTTGCCTGAGGCAGTTGAAACCTTAGTTTCTTTATAATTTCTAAATTTATAAAAGGACAATCTTAGAAAGGTTTGTTATAAATAATGTCAGTACCTATGTACTAACTACTGAGCTGATGATACCCTCAGTGTGATAACTTAGCTTTACTATTTCATTGATTTCAACGTGAATCACTGCCATCAATTATATTTTTTGCATTTCAATTAAAAGGGTTTCTATAAATATGTGGTGTTTATAACTTAAAGGTCTTTCATTGAATCCTAAATGTTATTACTTGTCTTTATCTTTTTGTTTTACCTGAGCATATTATAAGCTATTGTTGGTCTCAGCGTTGTTGGTCCAAATGCTATGGTATGTCTTCTGTGCAAACTCTGCCTGGTTAAAGCCAAACCAACTCTCACATCGTTACTATCTATATATAACATAACCTCAATGTCAAACTCTTTCATTGAAACATTCCATTTAAAATAATTGTAAACAGCACCACCGAAATTTGACTGTGCTCCCATAGAATCAAAACTATGATTCAGTCCTGTCCTATGACAAGTAACTCTGAATGCAGGTTTATCTGGACTGTATTCTGTCAGCTTTGGCTTTTTAGACACTGGTTCTGTATTTAAAACTTGTTTTGCATCTTCAGCTGTCTGAGCATCTTGTAAATTGTCTTCTATCTTTTTTTCAACTGTCTCTACCTCTTTATAATTTACTAGTCTTTGTGACGTTTTATCTAAATTCTTTATATCCTCTAATCCTGTTACCATGGTTACACTATCTTTATCAACAACATTGTTATCTGAAGAAATTTTACTTTCCTCAAACTTTTTCCTCTCCTCTTTCTTCTTTTCCATCCTTTCTTTCATCTTTTGTCGCTTTGACTTCTTCCCTCCGTTGTCTCCTTTTTTAGGTTTGTGTATTCTGGAAGATAATTGTGGTTCTCCTAACACATCAGGGATAATATCTGGTTTAGAATTGATTGGTTGTTTAAATGTAAACACTTCCCTCCATGCCCTTAAACCAGTCTCCCAGTCCACACTTTTTACCAGTTCTCTGAGCCGAGCCATACTCTCAAGCTAAATCATAAATAAATACATATTACACAAAGTTGAAATATATTTTGGAATCCAAGAAGTTAAGTTTGTCTAATTTTGTGTGTAATTCTGTCTTTTTAATGTATGAATCATATATTTAAAAATAATATTGTTAATTAAGTAAAAGTAACCCCAAGTTATTGACAAGCAGTTAGAAGTAGCATATGTATAGCTCTTTCCTGCATCCTGAATGACTCTATAACTACAATTCAACATGAGTTATTCCCCTTCCTGGTGAAAAGCAGTGGTTCTCTGCAATGAATAGCAGTTTTTATTCACCTGGTTTCACTTGTGATCAAACTTAACTAAAGTTAACATAATTATAGTTAACTTTAAGAATTATTAGAGTTAGTGCTAGTCCCTAAACATGGGTTTCAAATGTAACTTATAAACTCAAAATTTTAGAGTAAATTTATGAATTCATGACATAAATTACTGAAAAGTGCTCTTACTAGATGCAAGTCCACAACTTTAGGTAAATTGAGTGCTTGTTAAAAGATTTGGTTACTATATTTTGTTTAGCTATAGATGAACAATTCAAAACTGAAGAAGAAGAGCAATGGGCAATGATGGGTATTTGATAAGACAACTTGCAAGAATTGCATTAAAAAATATACAGTCAAACTTGTCTTAAACCAAACACCTCCAGGACTAAAGAGGTTACCAAACTAAAATTTATGCTAAATAGGGCTTATTTCTTATTCTTAAAACCCTACCAATAATACACTTACCTCATCTTCAGAAAACTTGAAGTCTGAAACTTTGGTCATTAGAACATAACAATTGTCTACACAACCAAGTTCTAGAACCTGAAACAAAATAATCACTATCATACATAAATGTACATATATTATTTGCCCTGTTCAAACATTATTTCCTGTCTTAATGTGCCTGGAGGTTGTCTAAGTGGTTGAATTGAGTTTTTTTTTATTTTACAGTTAGACTGTCAGGCAATTAATTGTACATTGTAATAGTTTTAAGGGTTATTCAATCATCATTCTGTACAAAAAAATGTACATTTAAAAAATTAAAAATTACCTTAATAACTATTTCATGCTAATACAAATTAAAATAAAGAAATACAGAAATGATGACCCCCTGCATCCAGATCCTCAATCATGTATCAATACATCCACATTTCAACATGTTCAACAAGTTAAACAATAAAAATAACCCTCATATCAACAAAGGCGACTTTCAATTTCGTGTACTTTCCCGTAAATTTCCTACGTCACATTATTAACTAATTGTTTGATGACGTCATTTACACAAATTGACCTGGGGTCAACCGGTGAAACTCATTCAGTAAAAAACAACTCGAGATTGGTATATTGAAAACCAAGGTTTAACTTGAGATTTTCTAATTGAATTGTTTTATTTTCAAGCAAGTACAGTCTCATGTGCATGTAGCTATTATTATGTGATGTATATTAATGATTTTACATCTTTTAATACTGTAAAGAGGATAACTAAATGTATAGACCTTATCGCTAGTTGAGAATCTGCAGCACTTGACACAGAATCTGCAACACTTGGACTATTGACCTCATACAATAATCGCTTTTCCTTTGTGGCGTCAGACATTTTCTATTGTGACATCAACTTCTACTTCTACCATATAGTGACCGCCTTCAACAAATTGAAGATTATGTCAAAATTTTACAGAAACCTTTGTGATGTCCAAATAGACAAGGTGTATTATGTCCCAGATTTTAGTAAATTACAACTATGATTATGAAATAAATTTAGAAAATAACCTTTTTCACTTTGCTTATTGGGACCTTCAAAACGATTCGACCTCGTGACACTGTAACTTCTGCATTTAACTTTTCGACTGCCTCTTCCATAGCCGTTGGCTCAAATCCAGTTGTCACAGTTGCTTCAATCTCACATAGTATATCTTTTTCATCGGTAGACATGTTGTGATCTATGGGCGCAGACATTTTGATTTATAAGACGTCACATGACTCAACTTACTCGCGTTTTACTTCCGGGGGAATCCCACGTTTACGCAGGTACAAACTTTCAAACGTTTACGAGTTTGACATATTCTTGTGTAATCCATATCGATATGTGTCGATCGAAAGTGAAAGAAGAAACGTAAACAAACATTACTGAGCCAAATGGCTCCGAGATGAGGTGGAACTGTAAACTTGTGGCATTTTTTATTCTTGTTACCTATTTTTTTGTATCGTTTTATACTGGATACCTGTTGGTCATACACAGATTAGAAAAGTCGTCTTACGAATTACAGAGAATTAGAGCACTCACAGGTAAGAACAGGTGTAGTGAAATTGAAGAAGCATTTTTTTTTGAATGGATGATTTAATTTATTTCTGATAAGAAGGTTTTTACAAATTTTTTTGCTTTTTTTTTGTGAAGTTTTGATGTAATGTCATTTCAGTTTGCCTGCCAGGTCAATTTGATTTTAAATTGGTGATTCAATCACTTTACATCTGTTTATCCAAGAACAACAAAATTATTCACCGAACCTCATGAAATCCCTTAAAAAAAAACTAAACATTATTTGTTGCGGCCTTATACATGTTTATGTTTAGAATTAAAAAAATTGATGAGAAATAAAAATAAAAATTTATGTATATACAATATTGAGATGCACTGTCCAACATGGTAAAAACGGAATTCAGTTTGTAACTACATATACAAATGTACTTCCATGACTTCTGATTGTTACTTTTAAATATACTGAACAAAAAGAAACATACACTTCTTTCTTTTCTTTAGAGTTTAGATACATTGTAAAATCAAATGGCTACATATATACATGTACATCTGATCATTTATGATTTTTGACAAACACAAAAAGAAAATATAACTCATATATAATGTATAAACAATTTTTTTTTACCCCAGTGCATTGTTTTATTAACTAAAATTGAATCCAACTGGAAGTTATGAAAATAAAAGAGAAAATGTATCTGTTTTCTGCTATCTTAAAAGTTGTATATTTACCAACATTGCAAAAAACAAGTTATACATGTACATGTAAAACTTTTTTTTATTTCTTTAATGAAAAATGCTGTTGCCAGTATACATGTAACAATTTAATATTACTTTTTGTGCCAAAAAATTGGTAAGGGTTTCATTTTTTATTGCACCATACACATATACCGCTAATGAAAAACTAAAAGGAAGCATCAACACTCCCAACAGCACCTCTCTTTCTGTGACCAGGGTTTTACTAATGCCACAGATGATCACATGTACAAAATGCATTAGGAATAATGAAGCGCTTCTCCAAGAATAACATGTAGAAATTTTGTTTATGACCCATTTGATTTAGCTTAAAACTGTTGAAATTAATAATTCAAAAGAGCTAATGTAGGAGGGTGTAATTACTACAAATATATTGGCTTGTACATAAAACTGATAATTGGATGTGTAACAGCTGCATGCATAAGCTCTGTGTAAGAATGACTGTATCCCACCTTTTTTTTGCAAAAAACTATCCACAAAATTTCTAACATGGTAAAAATTGGTTGATTATAGTACTTTTCAAACTATGTTATATATACATGTATAACTATAGATGTTTATTAATTAATTGATTAGATCATTGCCAGCTTACATAATACCATATAAATGTCCTAGGACTATTATCTAGTCCTGGGTAATAATGTTGAGGGTTTACGTCCATAAGACAACGTCCCACAATATGTAAAATATTTTGTGTTTCCATTTCGTAGATGAATTTCCGAGCGAGTACTTGATTAGTAAATCTTCACCGAGTTGACATTCCTACTTTCATGTACATGTATAGAGATGTGATTTTTTTTCTGAGACAAGTGCTTGTGACCATTCTCAAAAACTTGTGGTTATCCGATGTTCAGTACTTCAGTACTTTGATAAGGTATTGCAACCTTTTCATTTTCTATTTTGTATAGCATTACCAATCGTGCATCTTTTCTACTGTCAGAGAGGCTTGGCCATTCAAGGTGTTGTAACATGTTACCAACGCTTGAGGTGTTTCTGTATTTGTTGGTAACAAAACGGGCAGCCCTCCTTTGAACTTTTTCAATGCTATCTATGTCTTGTTGTAAGTAAGGGTCCCAAACAGAGCAAGCATACTCTAGTGATGATCTTGTATGCCTGCTCTTTAATGGATGTTGAGCTTATATTTAGGTTCCTCCTTAGAAAGTCTAGTGTGCTATTTGCTTTCTTGCATATGTTGTTTATGTGCGCATCCCTTTAAGGTTTGAACTGATGGTTACCCCTAGATATTTTGCTGTTGTTACAAATTCTAAAGAATGATTGTGTAATGTGTAGTTAAATGTGATTGTTTTTTTTTGTTTCTGGTGACTGAGATAACATTACACTTATCTGGGTGGAATGCCATTTTCCACATAGTTTCCCATGATACCAATTTGTTACGATCTTTTTGTAATGTACTGAAGATGAATCAGAATTTGATTTAATTGCCAAATAAACTATGGTGTCATCTGCAAATAAACGCACTCTAGATGTACGACCAGTTGGAATATCATGTATATAGTACAGGAAAAGACTTGGTCCAAGAACTGACCCCTGTGGAACCCTTGACTCAACTGTTACATACTCATATTTTTCCCCATCAAGTACTACTGTCTGCTTGCGATTACTTGAAAAATTTTGTATCTAATTTTACTATCAAAATATAGAGCTCTTCCAATTGAGATTTTTGGAAAATAGAATAAGGTTTTCATAACTAGCTAGACACCAGATACTTTAATGAAGATAAGGATAAAGGATCCATTTGTAAAACAAATGGGTAAGAACCCCCTTTCTCATTACAGATAATCATTTATTACTACATACTTGTAGCACAAGCTTAAAAAAGAAAAGACCAACAACAAACTTTTCCAAAAAATCTTATGATATTCTTGTCAATCATGAACATTTTTGTGTATATATATAAACTATCGTTTTTAGTAGCAACATTTTTTTGTGAAAAGAGCCTCTGGGTATTGTATATTCAGTTATTTGTGCAATGTTTTTATTGAAAACAATTGACAAGGTTAGGATCATATTAATTATACATTTGTAACTACATACATGTACATGTAGTACTATAAATTCTGAGGGCATTATTTGTATGCTGAGCCTTTCCTGAAATAGCATTAAATGATGTGGCACTTTATGTTTTGTCATGTGTTAAATGATGTGGCACTTTATGTTTTGTCATGTGTTAAATGATGTGGCACTTTATGTTTTGTCATGTGTTAAATGATGTGGCACTTTATGTTTTGTCATGTGTTAAATGATGTGGCACTTTATGTTTTGTCATGTGTTAAATGATGTGGCACGTTATGTTTTGTCATGTGTTAAATCATCTACAATAATAAAAGTAAACAATTAATTTTTAGTCTTTGGTATGAGTTTAAAGAAACTTAACAGTACACAGTTTGGAACTACACAAAATACAAGACCTGTGTCTAGTGTTGGTAAATTTTAGAGTGACATTTTTGTATAATTCAATTTAAACAATTTTACCCACATTTTTAAATATATACATGTAGGGTTAACTTTAAAATGTACATCCAAGTAACTTCGTAGGTTATCTTAAATAAAAAAGAAAAAGTAGAACAGATAAAGAAAAAGGTTAGATAATTTATACAGGTTCAAGTAAACAGTCAAATATTTAATAATAGATATCATATTCAAATATAGATTTATGTGGATTGATATATCAGAAATACATAGTGTAAAACCCTACTATGTGCCAGCCAACTCATATACCTGCTACCATCACCCCCTACTACCCTTGCTCTAGATCTCTTTTCTATGGCTAATATTAAACTTACTTGCTTCCAATATGAGTATATATAAAAAGATGGTATAAATTAAGTCTTCTATTTTTCTCTAAGGAGACCATTTTTTCATCCAGCATGTCCAGAAACTTTTATTCCCAGCATTAATAGTTAGTTGTATTATCATCAGTACATGATGGGGAAAAAATAAACAAACAAAAAAAGTTAAAAGACAAAATGTCTACGCCCTGAAACGTCATTAAGGACGTACGTACCCTTTACAATTTGGAGGTTAAACAGCCAGATGAAAATACAATTACAACGGCTCATTTTTTTAATTTTAAAACACAGGACATTTTTTTTGTTTATTGTGGTTGATTGTAAACTACAAATTTAAGATCCAATATGAAAACCAATACAAATAAATGTCTTGTCTACTGCAGTCCACAAATAAAAGTACCTTTGAATGTACAGTATATACAAGATATATTGTGAATCATCACCAGTTATATAGCAAAAGTTTTGTAGAGATATTGATGTTGATTTCATTAAAAATTGATGAGATGACAGAATTAATCATGTTTGATCAAGTTAAGGTGTAAAAGGTATCAATTACTTGGTGATCAAACGTTATTTCACACGATATATATGCAGTTCCTATCAATTGTGTAGGAAATGCACTAGAATTAGGTTTTCTTAATATTGAAATAGGAGAAGAAAAATATCATAAGGTAATTCTTTTAAGAATAATGCAGAAAATGTTTGGTGCTTTTGAAAATAAGTTTTTCTGAATTTAAAATGAAGGAGAAAACATTAATTCCTACTTTTATCCTGGTTTCAAAGAACTGTGGATTGTGATGTCAATTTGAGCAATGGAAACCCATAACATACTTAGACATGCAGATTATTATATTAAACCTGGAATTTGATAGTACAAAAAATCAACTAAAATGAATTAAGGTAGGAAGGGGAAGTCCCAACCAGATAAAGACACATTTATCAGTTTTATGAAATATTATGAACTAGTATTATACTTGTAAAATTTAAGTTAACTGAAGCACTTAGAAAAAAAAGCATTGATCAATTTATGATAACACCTTTTATATAATTGGTATTGGTAGAGCCTGTTATTTCTTGTGTTTCCTGTCAGTCACACAGAATCTCCATTCTCAGAAGGAATTTCACACAAATTTGTTCCTTAATATATTGTGATAATCAATAAGCATTTTCATATCTGACAGTTTGTATTGTTTTGTTCAATTCTCAAATGTCAAGGAAAGACCTGTTATATATTTATATATTGTACGAGGAAATAATAAAAGAACTGTTTAAATCAATTTCAAAAAGTTAAGTATCATTCATAACTTCTTCCAAAAATTAAATGCTTGCAACACTAACTTTGCCTAATCATTTACACTGCCATGAAAGACGTATTTATTTTACAATAATACCTCCATGTCACGATGAATTCATTGATTTTCAAGAGGTCTGTCAAGCCACTTCTGGGTTCTCAAAGTTTAATACTG